GGAGGCCTGGCGCAGAGGATGACAGAGAGCTCAGTGGCCACCTCCCAGGTTACATGCTGCGTGCTCACCACTCTGCAATTGCACTGCCAGCAGAAAGAGGCCCTCATTAGAGAGGACAATGCACCTAGAAGATGCTCGGGGCAGAGTCATTTGTAATAGGCAAACCCTAGAAACTTGCCTCATGTCCATAACAGTGCAAAGGCTCAATACATCGAGGTGCATAATACTATGCAATGTCACTCACACGTTTAAAAAAACGTGAAGTAGATCTTTACTTATAAAGATGGAAAGGCATTTGGTAGAATATCAATATGCAAAATAAACTATTTCTATTGCTACATAAATGCACAGAAAACATACCTTGAAAAGCACAAAGAGATGTCAGTCGTCATCTCTAGAGAAAAGACTAAAATTGTTGTGGTCAAGGAAGGGGAGCTTAATTTTACCCGAATTCTTAAAAATTTTAAAACAATATAGTGTATCCAAGTTTTACTTGTGTACAAAGTAATTAACAACAAGAAGAAAAAAATACCTCTCTTGGAACCACAAAGCAGCTGAGGCAGTCATCTGACAGATGGGGAATTGAGGCTTAAGGAGCGCACACCTGTTTGAGATCACACAGCAAGCGAGTGAAAGAGGCAGAATTAGGATCCACTCTTGACTCCCAGTCCAGTGCTCTTTCCTTTGCAAATGTTGCAGCTGGTGTCCAAAAGTATTTGAGCCTTGTCCAAACACCCCCTTGCTCGCTATACTCCCTACTTTTCTGCCAAACCAGGGTTCCAAAGGGAGGTATTGGGTTCTTGTCCCCATTTTGACTGGTGGCAAGGCAGGCGTGGAGTATGAGACAGTGGAAAGTTATTAACTGTGGGATATATAAAGGTCCTAGGGCAGCGGTAACAAATTAGCAGAAAGTTGGTGACTTAAAATGACAAATGTATTCTCTCACAGTTCTGGAGGCTACGAGTCCAAAAATCAAGGTGTTCGCTCACTGGTGGTTGCTTCTGGAGGTTCTGTGGAGGGATTCGTTGATTGCCTCTCTCCTAGCTTCTGGCAGTTGCCAGCCTTTTTTGATGTTCCTTGGCTTGCAGATGCATCACTCCAATCTCCGCTTCTGTCATCACACGGCCTTCTGCCTGTGCATCTGTGTCCAAATTTCTCTCTTCTTTAAGGACACCAGTCATTGGATTAGGGCCCATCATAATCCATTATGACCTCATCTTAACTGGATTATATCTGCGAAAACCTTATTTCAAATAAGATCATATTTATAGGTTCTGGCTGTACATGAGTTTTGGAGGGATGCTATTTGGGTAACTTTTCTGATGTCAGGGCTACTTCCTTAAGGAGGAAACAGGCGATGGGTTGCATAGGCATGGAGAAATGTTGGGGAAGTCTACAAGGTTCAGACACACTCAGTGAAAAAGTAGTCCACCGCTGGGCAGAAGGAATATGGAAGTAGGTCAGTTTGTCAGTCTGGGGAGTGGAGAGAAGCATGGACAAGGATTGGTGTTTTACGTATTGCAAGGTGTTTGGCCTAGATGTTCTAGAAGATTCAAGTTTGACAATAAAGTGACACAAGATAAATGATTTTTTAGGGATTAAAATTCACCTGGCAAGAGAAGTAGAATGGCTCGTCTTCAGGTAATGGACAGATTTACATCCATTTATGCTAAAGATGGATGGATAATCTCGCTCCTTCTCTTCCCTGTGCCCAGAGTGGGGTCATAGGTGCTTCCCGTCTCCTCACCCCGACTCGTGCTCCCGGGCTGGCCTCTCCTTGCAGGTTATCTGGGAAGGCTCATTGTGCTCTGAGGGTAGAGGACACTGAGAGGACAAAGTGCAGGCCTTGGGGGTAGAAACCCAAGTGCACCCCAAGATGTCAAGGGTAGGGCTTGGGCCACCTGTCAGATACTTCCTTTTCTTTGGAGGTCCCCTACATTTTCCAAGTTGATTGTTTGAACAGGACCATTCATGAACGTTCTACTGACTCTCCTCAGAGCGAGGGTTGGGAGGGGGTGTCACCATCTCGACTTGCCTGCTTCTCAGAACGACTTTGAAGTTTTCATCTTTTCTGTTTTTTTTTTTTTTTTACAACCAAAAAACCCCACCAATGCTGATGTGAAACATGGGCCCCAAACTCAACACCCAACTGAGGCAAAGGTGAGGTCCTTAGGTGGCTGGGGGCAAACCAGGCACTCAGGGGACCTACACAAGCCTCCTGGGAATTCAACTATGAAGGAAAAAGAACAGAATTAAAAATATGTACATGTATAGGCAGGGTGTTACCAAAGGTTGTGTCTCTAAGGCACGGATGATTAGGAATTTTTCTAATGGGTTTTAGGTCACAGTGCACATATGTTCCTTTATAAAACAGGAATCTGGTCCCATTTCATAAGGTTTCAGAGTGCATATGTATGGAAGCCTGTATTGGCCTTAGCTGGGATGATTTTGGATGGGGGGGCATTGTTTTCTGGGTTGGGTGAAAATCACTAGCTCAGAGGCTACATACATGCCAATGTCCCCACAATGCTTGGGGCAGAGGGCTCAGTGCCGGGGAAAGGCATCTTCCTTTCATGCCCCCTCACTGTCCCACCCTTGGCAAACTGAGTAAAAGATTCAGATTCACCCTGCTCCCACGGGGCACGAGTCAGGACCCACCCCTCATATGCCCCACTCATTCTAGACATGGTCAAGCACCAGCTGCCTCCGAACCCAGCCCAGATGCCATCCCCCCCATGCTCACTTCTGAACACACAGCCATACTCTCCCAAGTTAGGATGCAACACAGGACAAGGACACTCAGGAATAATGAGGGTTAGTGTGAGAAATGTAAACACTCAAGGGTCCCAACTGGCTAAATAAGCCACGGGATGGCGACGGAACATTAGCTGGCCATTAAAAATCATGTTTCCATGGATTATTTAACATGGGAGAATGCCCCCAGCAAAATAGCAGGTGACTAGAATATAACCATTTAAAGTATATTCTCAGTTTTATAAAAATGTATATTATATAGTAGGAAAAGCAGTAGAAAGAAGGACATTGAAATGCAAACAAAGGCTATCTCTTAATGGTGGGATTAAAAGCAATTTTCAAGCTTTATACTTTTCCAGATTTTGACTCAAATAGTATAATAATCAGAATAATTCGATTTCTTAAGTGGAGTCCTAAATATTTGCTAGTTGTAGGCTTGCATCCCCTTTTCTTGCTAAAATGTCATCTGACCTCTACTTGAACTCCTCCAGAGATGGGGAACTCACTACCCTTCTTCCTCATGAGAAGGAGAATCTGATTCCCTTTAGCTTCCCCTCACTGGCCACAATTCTGCCTTCTGGAATGACAGAGAACTAGGCTGCTGCTCATGTCCCTTGACAAAACTTCGGAGGTTCAAAAGCAGTGGCCAGGCTCCAGGCTCCATCCTCCCAACCCCAACAGCCTTCCAAGGATGTCGACGTCCCTCTGGTTCCCACGTCCTTGTTTGCTTTCTGTAGGTACAATCCAGGCAGTGATGTCCTTAAAGGATAACTATGTCTCCCTATGACATTACCTACATTCTCTCTAATCAAGAGCGTACCGTTTGCCAGTCAGTGTATCAGGGACTCTATTATACACATCCTTTCGTCTAATCCTTAAAGTAACACTATGACCCAGGAGCTAGTATTACACCTATATTACAAATGAGAAAACTGAGGCATGAAGAAGCCACATCCCTTCCATGGTCACTTACTGGATCTGTGATGGAGCCGGGACCAAAGAGGCACTTATGGGCCTAAGTCAGCCCAGAGCCTCATGTGCCAAGTTAAGAAATGGATACGTGAACTCATGCCGTTAGTATCTCTGGTTGTGTCTCAGAATTATTTACGCCCATGCAGGCTCTTCCATGTCACTCGCTTCTTCATCTCTCCCTCTCTCTCACCTGGCCTGCTACCTAGAAGTGATCATGAAGGGTTACTGAAAGACTGACCCATGGGGAACCTGTTTCCTGAGACCCAGGTTTGGGACCAGTGCTGAGCCAGGTTCTCTGACACTCTGCTCAGGACTGCAGAGCCGTGGCTAGAGCCAAAGCCCTGGGGCCTGGGCAGTTCAGACATCACACAAAGCACACGTATGCGGGGTGAGCACGAGGCAGTAGGTGCTCCTCCCCACTGCCCAGAGGGGGCTGGTAACCTGTCAGGGATGAAAGGCCCTACATACTCCCCTGTCACTCCCACAGGAAAGTCCATGGAAGGCTTGTTTCCTTGCCCCCTATTCTGTCTGCCCAGCCATTTCCCAAGTCCTCCAGGGAAACATGGCCATATCAGCCACGGTCACTGACAAGACAGGTTTCGGAAGGACCACACAATGCAGACAGTTCCTCAGTACCCACCCCCATTGTGCTAGGAATTCCCACTCACTCATTCATTTGCCAGGATTTCAACTTGTCTCAATAAGGCAGTGACTTAGCCTCCCAATGGAGTCTAGAACAGCTGGTCAGCTAAGGCCAGCAGGCACTATAGACCACAGAACTCAGCAAACCTTCAGATCCTTGAACCTGGAGGGACTTTGAGAAGCCCTAGTGGTCAAGCCCTTGTCCCTAGTCAGGGTAGATCCCACTGAAAGCTCTGGCTTCATTCCTTGATGCCTGCCACATCCATGCTCCCCACCATGCCGAACTTTCTCCTGCTCAGCCTCTGTTTCAGGAAGTTCTCTCTGTCTCAACTGGGTAACTACTACCAAACCTTCAACACTCAGTCAAGGCATCCCCCTCAGACCCCCAATCCAAAAGCCTTCCTGTATCGCCCAAGGCTGGATGAGCCACTCCTGCTGCATTGTGGCTAAGCCCTAGCCCAACTCTTAAATGGTCCTCGTTCACTCACCAAAATATTTACATAGCACCTGCTCTGTGCTCCGCACCAGGCGATGAACACTGGACTTGCGGAAAACCAACCTCAGCTGCACAGCTTTGCCACCAACTGGCTCTATAACTTTGGACATGTCACTCCCTAAATCTGTTTCCTCACCTGTAAAGTGGGGAAGATGCTGCAGCCCGGCCTCTTTCTAGGCTTTTGGGAGCTCAGCAGAATGTGAAAGTGCTCTGTAAACTGCCACTCTGGTGGAGTTGCTGTTGTCATGACCCGGCCCTCTGCAGTCTGAGCTTATTTTTGTACATCCCATCCTTAGAGTCCCCTCCCTCGGGGGGCTGGTCGCCTGTTGGGGATGGGTTTGGGAGCTCGGGGGTTGGCACCTGGATGAGACATTGGGTATGAACATAAAACACACATGAACTTTAAACAAAACTGACTTACAGGGTCCTGGCATTGCTGGGGCAGGGAAGACATGCCAGCCTGCTCTGAGGCAACAGGGTGAAGACTTTTATGCCAAAGGGCTTTGAAATCATTTCATTTAAGAATTCACCAGAAGTACAGGGTAGGGGTGGAGACCAAGAACACTGAACCAGGGGGACTGGATGCTGGGGTTCTGCTCTAAGTTGCTCCGTGACATCAGTCAAAACCCTTCCCTTTCCCAGGCCTTAACCTCATTCTGTACACTGGGTGCTTCATCAGAGGTGGTACCCTAGGCCCCGCACACTCGGAGAGTCTGTGCAGACTTCATTTGTCTTTCACAGTTTGGCACTGGGACCCAGTTCAGGCTGTGCCAGAGACAGACAAGGGCAGCCTGGTAAGGCTCTCAGAAGGGCCAGGAGGCACGGGAACCCATGCTCACAGAGGTCTCCTCTTCCAGCCTGCAGAAGGTCAGGCCCACCACTTCATTGTTGGCCCACTTTGTAGACTCAAAGGCCGACACAGGTGCAGAGAACACAAACTTCTCAGGTTGTTAGACTCATCCCCCTTCCTCTCCAGGTCGAGGGAGAAACTGAGGCCCAGAGAGTGGTAAGGGCTTGCTTGGGGTCACACAGCATGTTTGTGGGAGAGCCAGGGCCTAAACTCAGGATTGATGTCCACCAGCTCCGTTAGTTTCAAGCCAAGTTTAGGTTTATCTGCCCATCGCCCTTGTCAGCCAGCCCTCTGCTTCTGCTGATAGAAGCCTCAGTTTCCTTGGAGCCAGAGAAGATATGAAGATTTCAGGGTCAGTGCTTGGTGAGGTGTTTTTTTTGTTTGTTTTTTTTTTTTGAACTGGGAATAAAGGAGGAACAAGGAGAGCAAGGGAGGCATTGTACTTGGGACCAAAACTCCTTTTCTGGAGTAGGCACAGGGCAGGGAATAAGATCATCTAGGTTGGGGACAGGACTGAATACCCAACAGGCAGAAAGGCTTGTGCTTGGGCACAAGCCAAACAGGGGCAGAGAGAGACTCAAGTTCAATAAAAATTGACTAAATATTCTCACAGTTTGGGGCCTCGCAAGGTCTCCAGGGAACTGATCGTCAAGTTGATGGGACCACCTATTCCCACCTGGCTGGAAGGTAAGCAGGAGTAGCGGGAGAGGCCGGGACTTCCTGCTCTGCGGCTCAGGAGGTTGTCCTTCTGGCTCAAGGCTCTGAACCTTCTGGGCTTGTCAGACCCCAAGGGGCAGCTGGTCCCACTGCAAGAAATCTGAGTAGCGTCTCCTGGGCCCTAACCCAGCTCTGAGGCCCCTTGGGGGAGGGACAGGAAGGCAGGGAAGGGCAGCAGGCTGTAGATCTCTTCCCTCTTTGGCCCCTCCCAGCTCCCCGCAAGAACAGCCCACATGCACCCGCTCTGGGGCCTGAAGAGGCTCTAATACCAGCGAGTCTCAAACTTTAAAGCTATTGTAATCACTTATCTTGTTAAATATTAGGTTCTGTTTTAGCAGGTCTGGGGCAGAGCCTGAGATTCTGCATTTCTAACAGGTCCCACGTGATGCGGATGAAGTGAATCCGTGGACCACTCGCCAAGTAGCGGCCCCTTAGAGATGATCTGCCTCTGTATGGTAGGAAAGCCGAAGGGCCAGAGAGGTCAAGTCACTTGTCCATGCCCACACAGCCCCAGACCGAGGGGAAAAGGCACCTGCCACAGGCAGAAGAGATTTCCCCACTTTGGCAGCCAGAATTAGCTGCCCTTCCCGGGCCCAGGAGCCGTGTTTGTAAACTGGGCTGCCCCGCGCGGCTCAGCCCGCGGCCGGGGAAAGAGCGCCGCCTGGCCGAGCCCTCCCCACATCCCTCCGTGCGGGCCTCGGGCAGGTCTCTCTCTGCCTGGCATCCCCGACCGACCGGAGGGAGCCCGCGACGCCGAGTGTCCTCCGCGCCGGAGCGGTTCCACACTTCCCCTCCCCTCGGAAGGCAAACTTCTCTGCCGGCGTCCTTTACCTTTTTGGGGGGTTTGCAGCAGCTAAGCTTGCTGTGTCCGCAGCCCATTATCCTCCGGGGGCTCCCGGACGCCGCCTCCTAACTCCGGGGCCCCCAGAGGACCTTGCCGTCCCGGCCCTGCCGCCCGCTCCGCGCGCGTCAGCCAGGGCTGCCGGCGAGACCCTGAAACTGAACCTGAAAGCGCAGACTTGAGCCGGAGCCCGGCGACCGCGCGCCGTAAATACCGGAAGAGCAGGGCCTCTGCGAAGCCGCTGGGGCTCGCGGCGCCACAGCTCCAGGCAGGTGACCAGAATCTTGTAGATGTTAGGAACCTTAGTCCCCAACCCTACGAGCAACGGATGCTTTTCCGGGCCCCCAGTAGAAAAAAGGCCAGGAAAAAACTTAAAACAGTTTTTTATTAAACACAACAGCTGCCATTTATTGAGGGCTTCTTCTGTCCCGGTTCCTTTACACATATTGTTTCTATATCTTGCCATCTCCTTGCAACAGAGGTGTGTTATTGCTTCCATCCTATAGGTGAGGAAAACGAGGCTCAGAGATGCGATTTGCCTAAGCTCACATAGCTAGATACCAGATACCAGAGATACCAGAGCCCAGATAGAATACAATTTTAACTCCGCAACCTAAGCTTAAACCGCGTCCTTACAAATACATAACACTAAATTTAATTGCAGTGCCTCCTCACTTCTGGGTGGACAGCTCTTTCCAGCTCGCAAGCATCTGTGATATCCTACTCTATCCATCTTGGGTAGATGTTATCCATCAAGACAACCTCGTGTGGCAGGTGCAGTGGGAATAAGGAACACAAAATGTCAATGTCTGGGGAAAAGAACTTTTATCTACCCTCACTTCGTTACTAAGATTTCTAGAAATGGCAATGCAGGAAAAACACCTAACTTTGAAAATCGGTGTGCGTGTATGTCTGTGTGTATATCAGGAAATTTTACAAGGCCCAGAGTCACTTGGAAAGGTGTGTTGATGAAAGGGAATTACAGTCATGAATGAGGAAAGAATACGAATCCACAAAAGAACTTCCCCCTCCACAGAGTGCAATAAGTTCTGAGACAGGAAACTAAGGTTTGCAGGTGAAGGAAAAATAATATAGGATGATGTTCATAAAGTATGGGCCTAAGTCAGCAGCATCAGCAATACCAGAGAAATTTGTTAGAAATATAAATTCTCAGACCTACAGATCTTAAACTCTGGGGATGGGGCTCAGGAACTATAGCTTCACAAGCCCTCCTGGTGATCCCGATCCATGCTAAAGTTTGAGAACCACCTGCTGTAGGATGGGCTAAACAGGTAATGAGAAAAGAGTATCTACTTAAATTAACAATGTTTATTGAAACAGCGCTTGTGACTTAATCAAAACCAAAACCAAAAATAACCAAACCAAACAAAACAATGTAAATAGCCAAGAAAAGAAGTTTGGTTAAATAAATTATGATCTATCTGTAAAAGTTGAATGTCATGTAACCAGTAACAATATTAATGAAGACGAATATTTTAAACGTTATACAATGTAATAAATTCATTCTTATTTAAAAAAATATTAATAGCGATTACCTCTGGATGGATGAGATTTTGGATTTTTAAAACCATTCTTTGTTTTCTTACATTAAAAATGAGTATGCACTTACTACTAATGAAATAAGAAAATTACTATTGTAATAAGAAAAAGTTAAAAAAAATTTAAAACTCATATTTGAGACAAAGACTAGTTTTTTCATTATCTAGTCATAGTCAAGTATGTGAAATTCCAAAGAAATAGATAATGACTCTGAATTAACTAAGTAGGAAACCGACAAAAAGGACAAAAATGACCAAAATGTGTGTGGGGAGATCATAACCAGTAATGCCCTGTGTGATCCTGAGCCAACCGTTTCCCCTTTTAGAGACTTTCCCATCTAAATATTGAAGAGCTTAACTTTCTAAAATTGATTTGATTTGTAAAGTCAATAGTGGAAATCAATAACCTGTGCTGGTGAGTGGGACTAGAAAGGCATGTACCTGCAGCCTCTGTTCTCAAGAGGTCCTACCTCCAGCTCCTTTGAGCCTCACGAGAGACCAGGCTCAGATTTCCCACTTTCACATAACTTGGCTTTTTGGTTATGTGCTTTGAAGTTCCTGCCTGAGAAAAAAATCTCTGAAGAGGTGTTTGTTTGTTCGTTTGTTTTTGTTTTGAAAACATTGCTAATGAGATTTTTTAGTGGTTAATGTACCTGCTCGGTTAGGTTAGGTTTTGCTGCAGCAATGAAAAACATAAAAATCTCAAGTGAAGTTAGGTTTTGCTCACACTACATGTCCAGCATGGGGGGGCGGCGGACTCTGCTTCACAGAGACATTCTACACCATCCTGTGATGCAGCCATCCCAACACTGTGGCTCCAGGGTTTGCCGGGGCAAGAGAAGAGAGTATGCATGGAGTCTTAAACGCTTCCACTAGGCAGTGACACCAATTAAGTCCGCCACATTTTGTTGGCCAAAGCAAGTCACATAGTCATGCCCAACTTCCAGGGGATGGGGAAGAATGCAACGCATGTCCAGAAGGAGAGGAGAAGCCGAAATTCTAGTGAACATCACTAAAGTCTACTGATAGTTAGATATCAAAAGCAGGTACTATAATGTGCCCATTTCTTAGACAAGTTGGATGATGAACTCGCCCTGGTCTGCTCAGGATTTTCCCACTTCTAGTACTGAAAATCCTATGTCCCAGGAAACTCCTAAGTCCTAGGCTAGGTTTTGTGTAAAGGGGTAAAAGTTGAGGATGGGGTGGGCTCTCTTGAGAAAGACTAGAAAGAATGATACAGGCACTATCCTCAACCTCTTTCATTAGAAAAGTATAATATACCCATAGCTTAAAACTTTTACATAGAATTTCAGGTAGTTTAAAGGCCCTGTGCAGCCCACGCAATGGGGCTGTGTGTGGATCCCAGGTTAAGAACCTCTCAACTCAGCGGTTGCTAAACAGCTTTCTAGTCTTGAAAGCTTTTTCTGTTTAAATTGTTCTGATTGAGCCCAGTCATTCCCCAAATATGTGTTGTCTGCCCAGAGTGACTTTCTTCACCATCCATCTCTATGAGTTATAATTCTACCTGTACATCAAACAGCAGCTCAAATGTCCTCCTTCTGAAAGCCTTGCAGCACCTGTTTTACAGTTTTCTTGGCACATTTGAGAGTTTTCTTCTGAGTTACACTTGTTTGTGTGCTCTGTGTGTCCTCCTTAAGGGACTAAAGGTTACACAGCTCTGTCTCCTCCCTCCTCACCCCACCCTGTACTTATTAGATTATGGCAGAGATTTCCAGCCACCTTACTCAACTTTCATTCTTCCCTCTTCTTTAGTTACAGAATCCTGATATTCTCTGGGACTGCAATGCGATGGGCTAACAGGCTACTTACCCAGCTTCCTTTGCATCTAGGGGTGGCCAGTGATATGTAAGGGGAAATTACTGGTTGGAGCTTCCAGGAAAACTTTTAATAGGAAAATGACTCATCTGGTAGCAGGGATCTTCCTTTACTCGCCACCCCCTTTTCCTGCCTGGAATACAGATATGATGGCTGAATTCCAGCAGCCATTTTGTTACCCTGAGCAAAAAGATGGGAGGTGCCTTGGTCTCTGATAAATTTATGGAGCCTCTGCACCAGCCTCGATCAACTGCTTCCTAACTTTTTCACACAGTGGAATAAACAACAAATTTGTTTAATCCACTGCCATTGAGTTTCTGTCACAGCAGCAGAATGCAATTTCTAAACAATTCCTGGTCATTAATTAAGATTTGTTACATTAAATTTAATTAGAATAATTACTCTTAGAGACATTGAATAGATCCCAGCTTCAGTTCTGGAGGTGGGAAAGGAGGCTCTGCTGAGAAAGTTACCTTAGATTTGCCAGACTCTTGATGGAAATGTTGCTTTTGACAGCTTCCTCTTGGAATATACATAAGAGAAGGAAATGAGAGGGAACCTAAAATTATTGAGTCCTTACGCATCTACTGGAGTGTAGATCAAGGAATGGGCAGACTCATTTGCTCCAGAATCGTCTGGGCATCATTGGTTAAAATGCAGTTTCCCCGGAGCCCTCTCTCCTTTCCCACCCATTGAATCAGGTCCTGGAGGATGACTCATGAATTTTCACACTAAAGTTGAAATGTTATTGCTCCAAAGGTTGCGGTGGGTCATCTCACCGGGGAATCGAATTGTTATATTAATTATATTAAATTGTGTTGAATTGAATTAATGGGTTAGTCTTTGGAAAGGAGAAATGAGTCTGAGTAATGCTAGTTAGTGAGAAGCCATCCCTTGCCTATTTCCCCAAGAGAACTGTGGTTTGGAATTTGAGGCTGCCTTGGTAGAAGTGACAAGATTCATGTTACCACTTTCTTTACCAGCAAATGGTGATCGATGTGAACAGTCATTGGTTAGGGAAAACTGCATATCACCTCTTTAAGTGGGCTCTGGTCCTGAGGCTACCAGTAATGAGCAAGGGTGGATATTTCTCTACAGTAGTGGTTCTCAGAATATGGTCCAAGAGTCAGCAGCACCAGCATTTCTTGGGAAGTTGTTAACAATACAAATTCTTGGGCCCCACCACCCCACACATCAGAAACCACTGGCTGTGGGGCCCAGGAATTAGTGTTTTACAAGTTCTCCAGGTAAGTCCAGGGTATGCTGCTATTTGAGCTGCTTCGACCTTTCCGTCCTCCTAATGACTAACAGCCATTTTAGTGGGCACAGAGATGAGAGTGGAGTCTAGGGCTTAGTAAATCTACAGGTGAGCCCCATGTTTCAGATCAAAGATGGATATTCCCTGGAGCCCTCAGGATAGTGCCTGGTTTTGCCTAAGTCAGCACATACTTGTCCCCTCCTATATAGTCTGTCTCCTCATATCGCTTACCAGAGGGCTGTGTTTGCACCTTCTGCATGTTCCCACCTGACATCGCGTTCTCAACTCCATTCAGCTCCAAACATGTTTACCGTACGTCCTTCTCAGTGGGAATCCTAGTTTCCAGCAGCCCACCCCATTCTTTGATTTGAAAAATGAATATTTTTCCGCCTCTGTCACCTGCTATTTAATCACAGTTTAAGCAACCTTTTCTACTGGATCCCGCCCTAACCCCTCCCTTCTGGAAAATCCAGTGTTTCCCAGCTCTGCTGTCACCTTCCTTGCTCCACTCCAAT